GGTCACCCCGATCCATAAAGGAGGAGACCAAACAGAGTTGAATAACTATAGGCCAATATCCAATTTACACCCTCTCTCAAAAATCTTCGAAAAATTAATCTATAAACGAATCTACTCCTACCTCATCTCCCAAAACATTCTCAACCCCTGCCAATTTGGATTCAGGCCTAATAAAAATACTAATGATGCTATTATACACATGCTAGAACATATATACACTGCAATAGAGAAAAAAGAAGTCCCACTGGGGATCTTCATTGACTTACGTAAAGCTTTTGATACAGTTGACCATAACCTGCTCCACGTAAAATTGTCACACAATGGTATTAGAGGGCACTCCCTCAACTACCTCAAGTCATACCTCAGCAACAGAAGCCAATATGTGTACGCAAATGGGGCAAGCTCTTCCGTTCAACCAATTACAGTTGGTGTCCCACAGGTAAGTGTCCTAGGCCCTCTTCTCTTTCTCATATACATAAATGACCTACCAAATGCATCACAACTACTCAAACCCACACTATTTGCAGATGACACTACATACGTCTTCTCTCACCCGAGCCCAGTCACGCTAGCCAATACTGTAAATACCGAATTACAGAAAATATCTACCTGGATGAGGACTAACAAACTTACACTAAACATTGACAAAACCTACTTCATTCAGTTTGGTAACAGAGCTACAGATGTACCTCTTAACATAACGATAAACAGATCACCTATCACAAAGCTAACAGAGGGAAAATTCTTAGGAATCCACCTTGATAATAGACTCAAATTTCATACACATATACAACAAATTTCTAAGAAAATTTCCAAGACTGTAGGCATACTATCGAAGATACGGTACTATGTTCCAGTCAGCCCTCCTGGCCCTTTTTCACTCTCTTATTTACCCCTATCTCACCTATGGAATTTGTGCATGGGGCTCAACAACAATTAACCATCTCAGACCCCTAAAATTACCCAACAAAAGGCTGCAGTTAGAATGATAACAAATTCTCACTACAGGCAGCACACTCCACCAATATTCAAAACACTCAACCTACTCACCATACAAAACATCCGTACTTATTACTGCACCTATTACATACATAGAACACTTAACTCTGATATTAACCCTCCCCTCAAACATCTCCTTGCCAACCCAACAGAACACATGACCATAACACAAGGCACAGATCACTCTTTGATGTTCCTCGTGTCCATTTCACGCTATGCAAAAACTCAATGCACATAAAAGGCCCTAAAATCTGGAATTCATTACCTGTAAATATAAAAAAACATACCTGTTTATAAATTCAAGTCTCTTCTCAAAGATCACTTACTCACTCAAAACCAATTAAATACTGAATAACTGAACCTTTAAAATTGTATATCCTATATGTTACTCACAATTATATCACACAAATGTTAAACCTAGGACCCAATCTAACTTTGTTATTTTTTTAAATACACTACCTAACAGAATACTCCATTCGACTGAATGTACAGCAATGCATGCAACCATATGACCTGTCTTTGTAATACTCATTTGTGCTTTATAGTTATCTGTTTACAATAATGTTTTATCACTGATTTCATCATTGCTTAGTTAATCTTAAGTTAATTTTAAGCCAGCCCGTAATGCTATGCATATAAGTGGCTTTGGCATGCTGCTCTTACCTGTATTTTTTGTACCTCTGTATGTATGCTAAAATTACTAAATAAATAAAATAAATAGTTTACAAAGTGTAATTACAATACTGATTTGCTAAGTGCAATGAAAGCCACTATCATACCGAGGAATTTCAGGCACACTAACTTATATCAAAGATGGCTGACATAAACCCACTACCATTAAGTGAGGAGAGGTTGCATTTAGGTATAGGTAAACGTAAGTATAATTATCAGAGTACATATAAAATATGCAATAACTTTAAAACACTTGAAATTTTGAAAAGTTTCCAGACACAATAGAGAGAGGTGCTCATGGAGAATGTAAACAAATCAGTTGGGGTGCACCGTATTAGAAAGACAGGGTGTCGTATAGCGAATTTTGGTCATAATTTGAAACTGCCGTACTAGCGGAATGCCGTAAGGCAAAATGCCGTAAAGCGGGTCCCTACTGTAACTGAAACCCAAGATTGTAAAACTACTGTATATCTCATGGGTTATGCCTCATTCTGAACATTTGGTTCCTTTCTGGTCTCCAAATTATATTATAATCAAGCGCTAAAGGCTCTCCTTACTTAGCTACATACAGTAGGGCTGCACTTACACGGCAGGTTAGGTTCCAGGCTACCGCCGTGAAATGGAACACCCTTTTATCCACTTATAAATGCATATATGGTGGCCCGGTGGCCTGGTGGCTAAAGCTCCCGCTTCACACACGGAGGGCCCGGGTTCGATTCCCGGCGGGTGGAAACATTCGACACGTTTCCTTACACCTGTTGTCCTGTTCACCTAGCAGCAAATAGGTACCTGGGTGTTAGTCAACTGGTGTGGGTCGCATCCTGGGGGACAAGATTAAGGACCCCAATGGAAATAAGTTAGACAGTCCTCGATGACGCACTGACTTTCTTGGGTTATCCTGGGTGGCTAACCCTCCGGGGTTAAAAATCCGAACGAAATCTTATCTTATCTCTCTCTTATCTTACAAATACTAGATAACAAGTTTACATTAACATTAACTTAGCAATAGAACTAGGCATTAAAAAACAATAAAAAAGTAAAATACACACATAGTACACTCATTACTTACCTTAAAATATTTGTAGTCTTAATCTAGGGTGAGATGAGTAGTATTTATTGTAAGAAATTAAGTGTGGTATGTATGGTAGTCAGCCGGGCTACCATACCAGGCCACCCCACCTACACATAATATTCTATTACATTTAAACATCCCAGAGTTATAAAATGCATATACACAGTTCACTTATTACTTGCCTTAAAATATTTGTAGTCTTAATCTACGGTTAGATGAGTAGCATTTATTGTAAGAAATCAAGTGTGGTATGTATGGTAGCCAGCCGGGCTGCTATACCAGGCCATTCCACCCATACATAATAGTATTCTATGACATTTAAGTGTCCCAGAGCGATAAAATGCACATACAGTTCACTCATTACTTACCTAAAAATATTTGTAGTCTTAATGTAGGGTCAGGGGAGAGTAAACAAGATAAAACGAATAAATGAGAGAGAGAATAAGTACACGAGGGAGGACAGGTGCAGAGTTATGTAAACAAACCAGGCAAATGCAAGTTTTGTAAACAAACCAGGTGTACACGTCTGGTTTGTGTACAAGTTACATTGTGTACAAGTTGTCTCTACATTGATACAGTAGAATAAATAAAGAGGAACACTCCCATTCTCATGTAACACCAATTTTAGAAGAAATGACACTCTTAGTGAAGGGATTGGAAATACATAAGTCACTCTGACTTTTTTGGGGTTATCCTAGGTACTTTACACATGCTGCTATGTATGATAAACTATGTAACTGTATTTGTGTATACCTGAATAAACTTACATACAAAGGGAATAATTTTCTACAGTTACCCCCAGCAACACAGTTTCTTTAATGTTGGACTAGAGAAAATGTTATTCGTGCCGTCACTTGTACAAGTCATCTGGCTACCACATCTCGTATTTATGTTTATTTTACCGTGGGGTGTATTTATCATCTTTATATGTTATGTATCGTGTTTATTATATAATTCTGAAAAAATATCATAGATGGATTAAAGAAAATATGTATAATAAATATGTATAATAAATGTGTATAATAAATAATGAGACTTGGTGATTATTATTAATTATTTATTATTATTACTAATATGGCATAACTTGTACAAGTCGTCTGGCTACCACATATCATATTTATGTTTATTTATTCTACTGTGGGGTGTATTTATCATCTTTGTATGTTATGTATTGTATTTATTATATAAATTTGAAAAAATATCATAGATTGATTAATGAAAATATGTATATTAACCTAACAGACGACATTTAATGATACTCAGTGATTATCATTACTAATACGGCATCTCGAGACATAAGACACTCTCACTGATTTTAATGTGTACCTGCATGCCAGCACAGTGTGTAAGTTTATTTAGGTACAGGTATACATAAGTATAATTATCAGAGTACATATAAAATATGAAATAATTTTTAAAAACACTTTAAATTTTGGAGTTTCCAGACACAATGGAGAAATATAGTGCTTACTGATCTCACATAGAATGTAAACAAACCGGGTCGCAGTGACCGTATTAGAAAGTTAGGTAGGAGGAGGAGTATAGAGTTTTGGTCATAATTTGAAATGACCGTATTAGTGGAACGCTGTAAAGCGAAATGCCGTAAAGCGGGGCCCTACTGTATTCCTTTACCAATGCCTTGGACTTATGAGGGGCTCCCTGACCAGTATTCATACCTAAATAATGTATATCAGAGCTTATTTCCTATATTCTGTTTATTTCAATATGCAGTACACTATTGTAAAAACATTTAAAATATACCAAAAATGTTATAAATGGTGCAAAGGTGACATTAAAACAATATCAAAGATGGTTTACACCAACTCACTACCATTATAATATGCTCCTCACATAGCAACGAATTCGTTTAACAATGGGGTCTTAGGAGCGGAACTCCATCGTTAAGTGAGGAGAGGCTGTAGTAATAAATGCAGTGGAAAACTGACAGAAATCTTTCTGACAAAGACACACTAAAGGCTCTGTCTGAACTTGCACTCAACAGAAAGTCATAAAAGTAGGAAATAAAGTGCAATACCAAAAGTGATAGTACAGAACTAGTAGGATTCAACAGCACTGAAGTTGGGCAAATTTAAATTTGGGAAAGATAAAAGCCCTAGTTTGGCAACAGAATCATAGACGAGTGAAACAAATTGCCACATGTCATTAAAAAGAGTAATATCAGTAGTTTCACAAATTAGAAAAATGTACTGATTTGAGTATGACCTAACTTGCATGGGCCAAAATAATTACTGCATACCTTTCTCTTCTAGATCCTGCACCATAACTAGTACTGTACGAATCCCTATGGTAACGTTCCGGCATCCTGAAAGAAAATATTTCTCATTAAACCTTCATCACCACAAGCATTTTTTTTTTTAATGCAAAATACAGGTACCATCCGACTTATGTCCAAGCTTGGTTCCCACCAACCGGTTGTAAGCCAAAATGGACGTAAGTCGAACCTTACTACTGAATATCAACATCACACTTTTGTATTGATTTTATTTTATTGTTTTATTTTGGTATTTCATTTTTTACTTTACTTTTTATGCTGTTAGTACTGTATTTCATACTGTAAGGCTTAGGATAAACACTGTGTACAACACAAACAGTTGTTTATTTCCCAGGAATTTGGCATAAAAAACATGGTCGTAAGTCGAGTGGTCGTATGTCGAGCAGGTCATAAGTCGGATGGTGGGTGTACATACAAATATTTTTCAAAAAGTTACATGGTAGAAATTTGCCCCGACATGCTGAGAATGATGATGGGATCAGTTATCCAAGTAATACGTAGTGTGGCATCCCTCCAAGAAACAAAGCCCCTACCCAAGGGCACAAACTACTCATAACCTCACCACTGTGTTAAGGCAACTCAGTGTAAGGGAAAGAATGGGGAGGAAGGGGTTTGTTGTGAGGAGTGTCATGAAGTGAGCAGTTTAGGAGCTTTAAAAATAGGTTAGTTAACAGGGCTGTGGAGTCTGAGTTGGAAGCAGTTCTTGGGTTACCGGAGTCGGAAAAAACAACTGAAGGAGTCAGAGTTGGAGGTGCCATAAATGGAAACAGATTCAAAGGTTTATGTGCTAACTCCACAGCCCTGTTAATTAAATAAAGGGATAGGAATTGCTGGATATGAAAATACTAAATAAATCAATAAAAAATCAACAAACAGCACCAACAAAACAAAACCAACAATAAACAACATAAAGCAACAACGACAAACACCAACACTAACAGCAAACACCACTACCAACAAATAACAACTATTACTATATTATTATTTATTATTATTAGGCATACCCAAAGGAAACATTAAAGTTGTTACCAGATTACTTTTCCGTTTTCATTTCACTCATAATATAAGAAAGCCTTAGCCAATTGGCTTTAAATTTTCAACACCAGTGTAGGGCCACTAGGGCTAGATTCTAGGAACACTTGATATATGCAGGTGTTCTATTACTAAAGTTAATCGAACCATCTCCTGTAAATGACAGATATTCAATGAGCCTCTTCCTAGACCTTAGGAAAGGTTCTGAAATGGTACATCATAATATCCTGCACTGTCTTACTGAACACCTTACCTTTCTGGCAGACAGCAACACGTCTCCATTAATGACACAACCTTGTCAACTTGGCCTATCAACTCAGGTCCTCTGCTTTTCCTCATCCATGTCAATGATCTTCCCAATGCATTCTCAATCACTTAAACCTGTTCTGTTTGCAGATGACAACTTTCATCATCTCACTCAGTACCTGGAATATACCTGGAAGGTGTTCTAAGGGTTAATGCCCCTGTGGCCTGGTCCATGACCAGGCCTCAGAGTGGATCAGGGCCTGCTCAGCTACTGTTACTGCTGGCCGCATGCAAACTGACATACGAATCACAGTCCAGCCGGTCAGGTACTGACCATTTGGGAGGTTGACTGGTTATCCCCTTATGTTAGGTGGGAGGCAGTTGAACAGTCTTGGGGCCCCTGACACCTGTTGTGTTGTCTCTTAGCGTACTCACAGCAGCCCTGCTTTTCATTGGGGGGATGTTGCACCACCTGCAGAGTCTTTTGCCTCCAAAGAGAGTGATTTCCATGTGCAGATTTAGGACTAGTCTCTCTAGGATTTTCCAAATGTATACAGTGGAACCTCAGTATACGACTAGCTCCCTACTCAAACAAAGCTCAGCACTCGATCAAACAAATATGACCTGCCAGAACTTCGCTGTAAACTATTTCGTGTTTCTTTGCATTTTTTGGTGTTTTTGTATCATATGAAGAAATAAGTCACCATGGGGCCTATGAAGATTAGTGATGACAGCCAACAAACAGAAAACTGGTTGGGAAGAACTTGTTTGATATTCAAATGGAATAGCACTCGAACAGCCTTCTGGAATGAATTAAGGTCACATACTGTGGTTCCACTGTATTATGTATCTAGCACACCTGTGTTCCAAGACATACTGATCAAGAGACTTCAACCATTCCCAGTAATTAAGGTGCTTTGTTGTATTTATATTTGCAGTGAAAGTTCTCTGAATATTCTCCAGGTCTGAAATTTTGCCTGCCTTAAAAGGGGCCATTAGTGTACAGTAATATCCAGCCCAGAGAGAACAAACGACTTGAAGAGTACAGTGGACCCCCGCATAACGATTACCTCCGAATGCGACCAATTATGTAAGTGTATTTATGTAAGTGCGTTTGTACGTGTATGTTTGGGGGTCTGAAATGGACTAATCTACTATACAATATTTCTTATGGGAACAAATTCGGTCAGTACTGGCACCTGAACATACTTCTGGAGTGAAAAAATATCGTTAACCGGGGGTCCACTGTATCATCATTGTATTGGCATCCCTAGTTTTGAAGGTTCTCATTATCCATCTTATCATTCTCGTAGTAGATGTGGTAGATACATTATTGTGATCTTTGAAAGTGAGATTCTCTGACAGTACCACTCCCAGGTCCTGCACGTTAGCTTTCACTCTATTGTGTGATTGGAATTTATTTTATACTTCAATCCAGTTTCTATTTCCTAGAAATTTCCATAGCAAAGTACTAACTGAAATTTGTCTTCATTAAACTTCATATTGTTTTCTGATGCCCATTTAAAGACTTGGTTAATGTCTGATGTCTGCTTGGAGATTTGCAGTGTCCTCGATGGATGACACTCATGCAAATTCTGGCATCAGCAAAGGAGGACATGGTGCTGTGGCTTACCTCTCTGTCTATTTCAGATATGAGGATGAGGTAAAGGATGATAGCAAGTACTGTATCAAATTCTCTCACTAACACTTGTTAATAGGAGCTCATGAAGATATTAACCTGAAAAATTACCAGTAAACTCACTTTTAATATTGAAAAGACCTTCTACACAATGTTTGGGAACAGAGCTGCAAATGTCCAACTAAAATATGATTAACAACTGAACCTTATAAATTGTATATCTTAAATGTTTCTCACAATTATATCACATAAATGTTAAACCTAAGACCCAATCTAACTTTGTTATTTTTTAAATACACTACCTAACAGAATACTCCATTCGACTGAATGTACAGCAATGTATGCAACCATATGACCTGTCTTTGTAATACTCATTTGTGCTTTATTGTTATCTGTTTACAATAATGTTTTATCACTGATTACATCATTGCTTAGTTAATCTTAAGTTAATTTTAAGCCAGCCTGTAATGCTATGCATACAAGTGGCTTTGGCATGCTGCTCTTACCTGTATTTTTTTTTGTACCTCTGTATGTATGCTAAAATTACTAAATAAATAAATAAAATAAAGGCAATTGTTAGAAAAAAAAAACAGTTCTCTTATTGTAAGACAAACAAAGGAAAGAGTCTTTGGTCTGAAACTTGACAGCAACTTTATATTTAACCTCTACATCCAGCACATGAAGGTACTCATGTCACTAGGTATGTTCTCTTCGTATTTCAAACAGCAGTACGAACTTACTTTGTACTACGCTAATCTATCCTTGCCTCACCTATGGTATTTGTGCCTGGGGATCTACTTCAGCAAATCACCTAATGCCAATAATAGCTCAACTAAAAGCAGCTGTACAAATGATTACCCAATCTAGTGCTAGACAACACACTTCCCACTCTTCAAAAGTTTAAACTTAATATACAAAGTTCTATGTGGATGTCAATCACTATGAATGAATGAATGAATGAATGAATGAAAAAAAAAAGGATTTAGGAGTTCTGGTTAGCAGTAATCTAAAGACAAGAAAGTAGTGCATAAATGCTTGCAATATCAAGAAATATAAATAAAAGGAATCCTTGTGTTATACTTCAACTCTACATATTATTGGTAAGACCTCGTTTAGATGATGCTGTGCAGTTCTGGTCACAGTATTGACCCTTTCAGGGTTTCCGACGTACTAGTATGGCTTACGCACCAGGGTTATTGACATACAGTGGAACCTCAAAAATCGAACATATCACATATCGAACGTTTCGAAAATAGGACCATTTTTTCGGACAAACTGTGCCCCTATTATCGAACGCGCCCCTATTTTCGGACCGCCAGGTACGAGACCTGTCTGCCGCCCGCTCTGTCGTGTCCCCGCGCAGGCGCCGTGAGAAGTCTAGCTTTGTTTATGCTTGAGTGAACACTAACCTGCGCTCTCATTCACGCATTTTACGATTATTTCGTTGTGTTTAGTGCTTGTGGGACTGTGAAATAAGCTGCCATGGGCCCAAAGAGACTTGCTAGTGGTACCCCTGTGGTAAAGAAAGTGAGAAACACCACAGATGTGAAGTAGGAAATAATACAGAAGTATGAGTGGTGTGAGACTTGTTGAGCTTGCCAGGATGTATGGGAAAAACAAGTCGACCATCGGTTCTATCCTGTCAAAGAAAGAACGAATCAAGGAAGCTGATGTTGCGAAGGTGTTAATATAGGGAGTGGATGAGGTGCCTTCTTCAAAGATTAAGGAGATTTGTGCCAAGTGGAATGATGTCCAAATGTTGTGCAGAAGTACCACCCTGAGCAAGCTGAAATAAGCCATCTTTGCAACAAGTTCAGTGACAGAACCATGTCCCATTTTAAGGAAATGTTAAAGAGGCGACAGAAACAGAGGACTGTGGACAGTTATTTTGTGAGACAGGGGTCCAGTGACTCTCAAGCTGCTCCTAGTGGCATTAAAAGACAGAAGGGAAGTAGCCCCAGAGAGGGCTTTACCTGAAGTCCTCATGGAGGGGGATTCTCCTTCCAAACACTAACCCCAACTCCCTCTCTCCTCCTCCCTATCTTCCAGATGCCATCCCCACTCTTCAATAAAGGTAAGTAAAAATGTTATTTTATATGTATTACTATACATAATTAAAAACTGTAGTATTTGTTGTATG